TCGGTTCCTTTTGTCAGTTCTTCGTCATGTTCAGGAACCGTTCTTCATGTTCTTCACCGTTTCGGATGTCACATCGACATGACATGACAGCGGGCAGGCTGGGCAGAGTTCGCGTGATCGCGACGTCTCCGAGGATGCTGCATGAGTCGAGTCGAATGGACGTCTCACTCTTAGCTTGTGTGTCTCATGGTGGTCCCAGTAGCACACGCGACACGCAAGTCATAGGATTCCGAACTTCATACCAAATCTTACTATCTACCAGGGGCGCCACACACCATCAAAAACCTGGTTTTCCCCAGCAACAAGCCTGCTATGTATGTGTGAACACCTTGATTCTTTCATGGTTTTGAGCGCCACTGGTATCGCTTCTCTCCATTCATCTCTGCTGTTATGTAGATGGTTTCGTGGTGTTTGGCCTCCCCGACGTCCAAACATGAAAACTCCAGAACGCTGTCTCCCATGAGGCAAGAGGTTTCAAAAAGAGCAATTTCATGCTTTGGATCACTCCAGACTTCACTTTGAAGCCATACCCAGTGGATCCAAGTTACCACTATATAAGGAACCAGGGTTTCTAAGTCTATGGTGATTGAAACCACTGGTTACCAGCTATAGTGGTAGCTGGTAACTGAATCCCGTGGGATACATATATACTGTAGTTTATCATAGTTTCAAGACCGCTATTGAAGCACATTTTTGTTTTTGAGTTTCTTCTATAGGACTTCTTCAGGGCCCAAGCAAGAAAGCTAGACCAACAATTGTCCATCGAACTGGTGCAACTGTACCTCTAATCCCATGGAGTCCCCATCCTTCTCCGCTTTTACCTCATTTTTGAGCTGCTGGTCATGAGAGGGATACCCAGAATAGTTTTGGAATGAATTAGGATCCAACCAACTAACCAACTTCAGCCTAACCAGTCTCTCTGTTGATGAGTACCCCTATCCTCAAGAAAAGACAAAAAGAGAATTGAGAGCTGCAAACCCTGATTTCGCTCCCAGAGTCTATAGGTTCAGAACCCTTTCGTCCTTCGACTATCCCAGGTTGGTCTCATTGCTCCGGCTACGACCGTCACCGCATCACGCCAAGGGGCCACAACCACAATGGAGAGGCACCACTGTAAGGCCCGCTCATCTTCGGATCGTCGCCTAAAACCGAAGGATCCACGCCACAAAAACATGAAACAAGAGAGGTTTTTGGGTGTTCTGCTTGAGTTTGGAGGAGGTCGAAGACTTGGAGAGGTTTTTTATGGTTTTTTGGGGGTGATCTGAACTAGGGCCTGTTGCCTACCCCGTGCCTGTTGCCGAGTCGAACGACGACGAATCGGCTTCAACTGTTGCCCTGCGAGGTGTCGAACGAACGAATCCGAAGCCTTGCTGTTTGGGTCCACACTCGACGTCAAGTTCTTGCTCCGTGGTACCGGTAGGGACGGAAAGGAGCGGTGTGGGCGGGGCGGCCGTGCCTTTAGCTAGCTCGGCGAGTCTCCGAAGAAGCGAAAAAGCGAAGACACGAAGCGAAGCGTTGGATCTCGTGACTAAGGGCCTTTTGACCTTTGAATCAATGCAACATGTCTTTGTCATCCATAAAAATGTTCCATAGTTGGAAGATCCAGGTATGTGGGATCCTGGTTCTTCCAGTGGACCTGTTTCTATATAGATGCTTTGTGCGCTTCCTACTCCAAGCATGATGATGAAAATAGTGCTTGCCAACTTGACAAATTGGAGATATGGACTGCTGATATTGATGGTGGGGGAAACATGTATGTATAAGTATACAATGCATACTTGGTTGATGCTATTCAGAGGTCATGGAGCACTGCGAGCGGCTCAAGTTGCTGGTTTGTCTTCATTTCCAATGTTTCCTCTGTTTTTGGAGTGTTTCTTTGCTCGAACTTGCTCAATTTGGGCTCCCCCACGCCCAATGCACAATGCAAACTGAAAGCCTTGGCGCCAGATTCGGTTCTTTTCACGTGAGACCATCCAGTTTGATGCATGATGATGCATGATGCACCTGCACGAAAGAAGCATCCATACCACGGCCCACAAAACCATAGGGTGCATTTGTCAATCCATATCTGTTTCTGGGCTTATTTCTGACCGACCCAGCAAAGTGAATCCGACCCCGGGTGCTTCTGCAGCAGAAGCCCTTGAAACGTCCTCGCGCTCAGAACCCCAAAACCCGAAACACACGGTTCGTCCACGCTTGCCAGTGCGGTGAAAGCTCGCGGCTCCCAGCTCTCATGCCCACTGATCCCCTCAAGATGGCAAGAATTGGACAAAGGTCCCTCATTTTGTTGTGGAAGTTCCAGGGACAGGTGGTTTTTCCGTTCTGCTTTTGCATGACTCTGACCGAGTTCAAGGCCTGTGACTTTGGGAAAGTGTGACGAGAGGCAAAATCTTCACATCCTGGTGATTTTTCCAATCTTTCGTGCAGCAACTGTGGTCTCTGATAGCAGCTCAGAGCTGATGGAAAACACCTGCAGCGTTCTGCAGGGCAAACAAACAAGTCACCATGACCAATCAGGCAAATGGTTCATCTCTTTGCCAGTTCACGACGTCGCCCCAGGGTGATTGTGTGGCCTAGAGCAACTTGACCAGCATGTCTAAACTGCTGGGTCTGCAACGCTCCAACCACATCACCGCCAAGCCAGCCACGCCGCGACAAAAATGGACGAAAAAACACATTGCTCAGGCCCAAGCTTTCCCCTGAATCACACTCTTTGAAGGAGTGGGTGATTGGGTTGTCACACAATTCATAGACAAAGGCCTGGATCAATTTGGGTTACATGTTACATGAAGCTTAAATTGCGGCGCCAGGGGAGTGGAGGTGTTCAGCACTGATGTCACTGTACGTGCACGTGCCTTCCACCCCGAGGCAGCCTTAAGCCTTACAGGTGATGACTAGTTCAACACATGCATCAAGCAGCCTTGAACCTTCTTTCACCATCAAAGTCTGCCCCACACATAACCATGCTCCAGAATTTCCTTCGAATTTCAATCTTTTTTTTTCCCTCTTGTCATTTCACACTGGCAAAAAGTCAAAACGACGACGGCGCTTGCGTGCACAAAGCCATCCGTCAAACCAATCACCACTTCCATGAGTTTTTGCCACTCCATTGTCCATGTTTATTGTCACGTTTGGGTGAAACTCCGCGCTGAACAGCTCTGTGGCTTCTGTACCAGCCGCTCACCGATCGTTTGTGGCAAGTTGCCTCTTCAACTCATCTTTTCCCAGTTTAATATTATGCCGCCTTTGTATCTTTATGTCAAAGTGCACAGTTTGCAACAACAAAACATATTACGCCTCTTACAATGGATGGAGAAGACGCACACGCACGGAGCAAAAGAAAGTCGCAATTTGATACATGGAATGAAACCGTCCAATGCTCGCAGTCGGGTCAGAAAGAGCCTCACAAAGCAAAACTGTTTCAAGAAGCAGCATTTAGAAAGAAAAGCTGTGCCACACTGCGCACACCAAGCCAGCCTCTATGGAATGAGGTAACCATAGCAGTCCAACCTGGAATGATTGGTTGACCACGCACTTCAACAAGGCGTTTGTAACAAGTATATTCCGAGTATTAACATGTATTTACTGAGGGGAGGACTTGGAGACACCGCATTTAATTGAAGCTTCTTCGTCTTCTTTGCTCCAGTTGCCATCCTGCGGAGAAGGCATTCAAACTAAAAAAGAGCTGACTAAACACGAACTGGTAGGTCATTGAAGCTACTGCAACTAGCAAACGAGTTTGTGGCACAAACAACGGCTCCGCCTGTTGGCTAAATATATCAATTTGGAAGGCGTCACATTGGACTGTGGCTGCATTTTCGGTCTTGATCGCCTGAGAGCTGAACGACAATACCACCCATACACTTGTGCCTTCAAGAAAACATGTTCTGGCTTTTTTTCACTGTCTGCTTTGTCTTCTACTCAACATCAACTAAGGTACTATTGGACATGAACGCAAACGATGAACTCACAGCACGTGCTGCAAAGATGGTCGCTCTGCTTAATCTTTCTCATTGCCCGCATCTCAAAGCTGTTCAAAAACAAAATGAAAAATATTACATTTGAGGTCTGCACCTTCTTCAGATCATCTATGTCACCAACCGCTCCTGTGATTTTGAAGGCATTGCCGATGAACTCGAAGCCGCCATTGTCGTCCTGCAAGGTCAACAGCCGAGACATTCAAACTCAACCCTTTCCAACCGTGTGCTACTCGCATTTACTTACCAAAGGGCACAGCAAAGGAACAAGAGCATGGCAGAAAATAAAACAAAATCTTTAGTCTAAATCCTCTTTATCAAATTGAGGAAGATTATTAGAATACATATTTCATAAATCCTGAGGAATGAACGACCCTGCAATCTTCTCCCTAAAAGTCCTGAACCCGGCCAAGTTCGTAGCATGACAGTGTATTATCTTGCACAGTGGACTTGCCCTTCATCACGCTTTATTTTGCATATTTTGCGGGAAAAGAGCATGAACCTGAACGAACGGCGATAATAATCTTCAACCGAACTGTCCGAAAGTCATCAGTGCACTGCTTTGGTCAGAACAACGACTTTGCTGAAACAAAAAGTTTTTACACAGTCATTGAATGCACTTCTCTGCAGTCCTTGCGGATTTGTCTCACCCAAACAGCTGGTGGTGCAGTCGCAGTACCACCTTGCAGGGAGGAGGTATGGATGCTTGTATTACTTTATCTAACAACTTCGTGATTGTCCATATATATATAAATCTCAACAAGTTTATTCAACCTCCATCCACCTCCTCTTTGGAACAGCGTGTGCAAAACAGAACCAAACACGAAAGAGAACCTGTTTTGGAAACACCGTCCTGATGTTGGCAAAGGAATATTCTGGGCTCATGGGCAATCAGCAGCTTCATATGATAAGACGAGGGGATGACAGCCCATTTCCGGTCTGTGCCGGTGAAGATGGGTGGCAAACCAAATGTGACAGTGACGGCATCCTTGTTGATGACCCCGCCCACGTTCTTCTCCGCAATCATTTTTGCACCTCCGTCTGTCTCCGCATTCTGCACCAAAGAGAAGCCTTGCTTCGCGATGTTCTCGAGGTGAGCCCTGGCCGCTGCATTTTCCACACACGAAGGCAGCCGGGGCATTGCATAACTGCAAAGGGGTCAAAGTTGTCCCTCTTCCGCATGAGGCTCTCCAAAGCCTGCTTGGTGGTGTAAATGTCGCCACCGAAGTAGTTGTAGAACATCTCTGCCAAGTCTTTATCCATGCCCCAATCATCTTTCAGCATTTTTAGCATGTTAACCCTTGGTACTTCTCCAATGACAATGACTTTGCCTATGTCCCTGAGGTCTAACCCTGCAGCTTGCAGGCGGAAGGGATACCCAAACTCTGAAGATATCAGCAGGACACTTGCTTGCTTTGTCTGCTTCGTCCATTTTGTGACGGCTTGTAGAGCTGACTTGGCCGCCGTGTTCGCATCTTCACCAGTCCGGGCAATGCCAAATTCGCCTCATCCACAATGAGACTGGGGGTCCTACCACTCCTAATGGTCTTGTTAATGAAGTTTTACATATTTATTTGTTTTGCTTGGACTACAACATCCAGCACACCCTTTGCTGCGTCTCCGGCTCCTGCAAGTCTCTCGCCTGCTCCTTTTCGTTTGTCCATGCACGCCTGTGTGAAGAGTCGACTTGACTTCTTCCTCAACGTCGATGAAAGTACGACCATGCGCCGCTTGCCGCCGCCATTCTTGAATGTTGGATACCAAAACCGTCCAGCGCGTTGGGCCCAGGCATGGCTTGCGGAGCGAGGAACGTTTCACCCAAAGAAGCCCCACCGGCCACGAAGCTGGTCCATGAGGAACATGCATGGCGAGACAAACTGCTTTGGATCTGAGTCCCGAACAAAGCGCTAAATATACTTGATGCATCGAACGATGCACTGATTTCAACCAGTTCAAACTGCTACAGTAGAAGGCCTCAAAAGCAGGCATGTGTCGTTTTTGTTTCAACAAATGCAGCAGGTCTCGGAGCGTCACTGGCGCCGTGTTCTGAGTCTTCCCAGGATGCCAGCTCTCAGCAATAAAAAAGCATGATCATGACAGGAAAATGCTTGGTCTCGCAGCGGGTCACGAAAATTGCGAACATCGCAGCTTGAAGTTATGCATCACAAACTCAAGAAAGAGCACCTAAAAGAACAACGATCCACGATGACCACATCGTTGCGGGCCAACATGATCTGCAAATCGAGTGAGTTGATGTCTTCAGACCGAACTCGACTTCCGGGAACCGCTCGACTTACGTTCACATGGCACATAAACGTTTATGCACATACTCTCTACGTATGTTCAATCTGTTGCCAGTGCCCGAAGTTGAAGCGGTTCCGTTCGCATGGAAATCAGAGTCCAAGACACCTGGAGACTCAGGCAAAAAGCCTGCGGCATTGACTTGAATGCTCTGCAAGGTGGAATTGCGCGTCCTTTGACAAGGCTCGACATGTCTCGCATGCCTTCCACCCCTCGAGCTGTCGTTAAAGACTTCAAATGAGCGGTGTCAAAAACCATCCGGAACTTGATTAATAAACTAGAGATTGTAACACCTTTCACCAATCCCTTCACAACGCTTTCGCGGCTGCATGTTTTCCTTTTGCCGACCCACTTCACCGAAAAACCTCTTTCGCTCACGCTTTTGCCGTGCTTCTGCTACTTACACCTATATAAGAGAAGTACCAGCAAAGGGGAATCAACCCTAATCTGCAACCACTGATTTCGCCGTATCTTCGCAAACCTTTCGCGCTCGCCTGGTTATCAGGAATCTTTTTGGGGCTTTAGAACAAACATTTAGATTACTTTGCACTGAAAACCTCCTTTGCCAACCCTTTCGCAACAAAATCCATGTATCATCGTTTATCAACAATTCAAAGCCTCAATAAAACTCTATCCAAACCTTTCACCAAGCTTTCCCCAACTGCAGCTTTCCTTTCGCAAAGATTCATAATATATTAAGCACTTTCTTTCGAGGTTTATGACGGCTCAAATGGCTCCACTCAGTCGATCTCTATTCAGGAGAAGCTCGGAGATCGACACGAGATCTGTGCGTTGCTCAGTCTGACAGGAGACCGACCGCCGGCAACGAGCCCCTGGAAGGTTCGGAAAATTGGGCCAGTGGGTCTCCTCATTTCACCTGGTTAGTGGTTTCAACTCGCTTAGAAAAATAGGAGTCTGGTTCCATCATCCCATGTATGTAAAGGTATGTAAAGGTTGACAACTAGACGGTATCGAAAACCACCACCATCCACGCACCATTTCATGTCAAGACTTCAAACTGTTCCACTTCGGGTTCGGCGTTGGACGTCTGCGACTGGCATCTCACGACGAAGCTCGTCGATGTGTTCGTGCAGGGCGACAGCAAAGTCGCTATGTCGTGCGGTGATGCAAGACAGGAGAGCTGACCTTGGCAGTGGCGCCAGGCATGCATGCGGGCAGGCCGACGTGAACGTCGAACTTCTCAGAAGCTCTATGTCATGCAGCATGACAACATGTCCATTGCATGTGTAGGGATTTGATTGAAGGGGATTCGCGTCAACGTATGGAGCCTGACAGCTTGCTTGACATGTGCTGCAGTTGTCGAGCAGCAATGACATTCTGCGTAATCTTCGATCCAGCATGCCTCAGGTAACACAAGATGCCGCCCTCAGCCCTCACCAAGTGCTTCCTACGGTCCCATGCAATCGATGCACTTAGCCGCTTCAGTCTTGCAACAAGCCAGATCAACATTGAACATCATCGGATCGTCAGGCAAACAACAAAATGAACTGCACCATACACTCCATGTATGCCATATATGCCTACATTGACCCCCAAAGCACCCCAACTGATCGGCATATGTGGCAGTCCCATGGAGTCTATGGGATATACAAGCACACATTGATTTACCGTGATCTAACCCCCAAAAGTGGCCCAAAGTCTGCACCAAGGCCACGACTGCCCCTCAAAGTCTCCAAACCAGGGGAGGTTCAGTGACAACTAGGGCCGTACTATGCTGGGGTACCTACAGACTATATGCTGGGAGTCTTTTGCCGGTTCCTCTGGAGATCCCCTTTCTTCGTGCCACGTGGCGGTCGTGCACTGGAGCCTTGGCGGCCGCCGGCGCCTGCAGCGCCGCCAGCAGCCGTGCCGCCGGGCGCTGCGGCAGCTCGGCCAGCGCGGCGCGGAGCGACGGGAGGAGCGTGGCCAGGAGATCGGCCAGGTCCTCGGAGACGGGAGTGGAAGTCTGGTGGAAACCTAAATGCCGAAGGACAGACCGAAAGGTGGTGGAAACTATAGGATGTGACTGCAGGATTTGGACGATTGTAACGCCGTGAAGATTGTCCGGCGTTCGAAAATTGGATGTGTTGGGTGAAATTGGGTGCGGCTGGTTGCTGTGGTCTCTCTTCTTTTTGATGTGAGTGTGGGTGTCGTTTTTTCTTCAGTTTGGGGTGGAGCGGACAGACTATCCACTCGGGCAGTGCAAGGTGGTAGATTTGCTTGCCAAGCCCGACTGGTCGTGGTGCTCGAGAACTATAATATATAGTTAAATTAGAAGGTGACCCTAAACCCCAAAACTCAGCCCTAAACCCCAAAACTCAGTTGAAAAGAACGAAAATCACCCAGAAGTTGCTCAGATCCACTAGACTAGGCGGCCATGTTCTGAATCTGTTGCCGCTGGCGCTTATCCAGTGACATGATCAAACCTTCATGTTGTAGGTGACAATAGTTGCAAGCAGCGCCCGCGGTACACTCGCCCTTCATGAAGCGCACACACGGCCGGCGGCACAGCACCGGATGGCCCACCGTGCCCAAGCTCGGCGCGACCTCATCAGCGCTGGTGGAGGACCCGAGCTCATCAGGTGGATCGACAGGTGGAGGACCCGTCTCCGTCTGGGCCTCCTGGCGAGAGAGAGAGAGAGAGACAAAGCCTAATAGAGATGGCCTCCAACCTAAGAGCGATGGCCTCGAACCTAAGAGCGATGGCCTCCAACCTAAGAGCGATGGCCTCCAACCT